CATCCATCCATCCATCCATCCATCCATCCATCCATCCATCCATCCATCCATCCATCCATCCATCCATCCATCCATCCATCCATCCATCCATCCATTCATTCATACGTTCATTCACTCGTTCGTTCGTTTATTTATTATCAATTTATTAGCTAAACGAAAAATTCTATTTATTTATGAACGAAACGAACGGAAACACGATAATTGTAACTAATACTGTCATAAATTATTATTATTATTATTATTATCATTATTATTATTATTATAGTTGTTGTTGTTGAAACTCAAGAGTATGCTAACATCCCGAGACAAACCTCATAAAATCATGCCTCGATCATCCATTAGCACTGCAATAGCAGGGTGTTTGAATCAAATCAATTGGCCAGCTAATTAAGCCCGCGCAAACAACACGTTGGTCAGAAATTGGAAATAATTTATAAGGGGCAGTGTGCAAGTTCATAAGGGAATATTTAGTTCAACAATTGCCTAAAAATTCAAACTTGTTTAAGTGGAAAAATTACGATAAATTACATTACGATAATTTCAACTTTTTTTCTCCTTTCTTTTTAAATTCTACTATATTTTTACTTTCTGTTTTTTTATTTCGATTTGAAAATAAATATATATTTCTGAGAATAAAAGAGTTCATATTATTATTAATTATCATCATCAGTATGATTAATAATATCACTACTACTACTACGACTATTACTACTATTAATTACTACTACTATTACTACTACTACCACTACTACTACTGCTACTACTACTACTATTGCTACTACTAACAACAATAATAATAATAATAATAATAACACTAAGGATAATAATGAATGACGTCATCAATAAACAAAAAAGAACTTTTTATGAGTTCCTCCAACTTTTTCCTATCCACTCTAAACCGATCCTCTATGGCGTCCGGATCGAGATGATTGACAGGTGGGCCCTCCGGATGACGATCCTCGTCCCCAGGGTGTTCATGATGATGATGATGATGATCGTCGACGTCATGATTATGATGATGATCGTTAT